ATTATGGTAAATATCTTAAAAAAACCCTACGCTGAACATACAAAAGGTGCTGGAAAGTTCTCGGCCCGATCAATTTCTCCAAATCAGCATTTCAGTGATCAAAATACTGTCACTCATTTGGTTTATTTCAACTAATGTTCCCATTTTTTATTGTTAAATTTATTATTATAGACACAATGCTTCGACCAAATACGCCCTAGCAATCTTCAGTTTTCCATTATTTTTTTTTTTGTAATTTTTATTATGAAGAATTGTCAACATACATTGATTCGGTTTATTCGAACTTTTGTCCACATTTTTTAAATTATTATTGTTGTTATTATATTCACAAAGTTTCAACCAAGTACACTCTGGCTCTCTTCAGGTGTCCAATATGACTTTTTTTTAATTTTTTTAAATGTGGTACTATTCAGTACATTTATTTAATTTATTTGAAATATTGTTCTCTTCTTGATTGTTAAAGATGTTATAGCAAACACAATGTTTCGGTCGAAAAGCCATGAAATGATCTTCAGGTGTCCATTATTTTGTCTGATAGGAATTATCAGAAATTATCCGATTTTGGAAAGTGGATTTAGCTATGCATTTTTCGGCTCTTCTCTTAAGTTCATTTTAAAAGGATTCATATATTTATTTACATACACTCTATCCCTGATAGCATTTAAACCTATAAATTGAGCAATTTAACCCATAAATATAGCATAACTTAAAAATATATTTTATCATATATATATATATATATATATATATATATATATATATATATATATATATGTATGTATAGTACAGGTAATAAATCCGTTGGTATATAATTCAAGTAGATCTTAGTAATAGTAAGTATTAAACGTGATCCATAAAAACAGCTTAATGTATTTATTATAACAGAGCATAGAAATTACACTACAAAATCCAAAATTACCTCATATGTGGGGGGGTATGGACGCAATTCATCTTACGACCATAACTACGTCAGTCTTATTCAACCCTGGTGTATAGACTGTATTTAAATTTGGACAGCCGTCCAAAAATAGATACAAAATTTATCCATTTCGATGTTTCAGTCAGACAAACTGCCCGTAGCGGTGGTTATATATATATATATATATATATATGAATACAGTCAAAAGGAAAACTTATCTTAGTTGGCGCGTTTTGTCCCCTGATTGACTTTATTGCGGCAAATATAAGGATTTAATTTTCAAAAGTAAAAATAGCTTTAGTTTGTTTTTTTTAAATTTAATTTAAGAAACGCTCATAAATATTAATCAGGCAAAAAGAAAAGGCGAGGCAAGTTATGGAAGATGCTAAGTGACGTAATTTAATGTCTAATAAACGGAATTGAGTAAATGATGTTGATTTTTTTTTATATATATATTTGAATTATTTTGATTTGGGATTAATTTACGGTGATTTTTTAAACACAGTTTGCGTGTGAATAAAGATAAACCACTTATAAATGGATAAAAATGTTTATTTAATTGTCGGTGCCATTTGTACTTTAAATTGAACCGAAACTTTTGATAAGTTTGGTCAAATCTCAGACGAAATGAAAATCAGATATGGTCTTACCTTTGTCTGGCGAATGATGCCTATAGTCCGATAAGGGACTTTGTGATTGTTCGTCATGTTCCGCGTGTTGTGACGATTGTTGGTAAAGACTGTGTGACTGGTGATGAATTGAATTCAAAGAATGATGATGCACCCGGTACTCTCCCAAGCGAGCCAGAACTCTCGGACTGGTTGCTGTGACTGTCGTGATGACCGCTGGTGAAAGGTGGTTGGAGCTGGGCGAAGATAATGCCAAAGGAACGATGCCACTGACCGTCGACGAGGGTACAGAAGAATTTGGCAAAGACAAACACGAGGAAGATGAAGAATGATTCGTGGAAGTTGTTTGTGAGGTCGATGACGAAGACGGTGGGGTTGGGGTCGACGACGTTCGGTTATGATGGTGATGATAGTGATGATTATCGGAATTGGGGGTAGGAGGGTGTGATTCACTGGATTGTAACGAAGGTGATGACGCTGCGGGAGCTAGCGATCCTGGGGAGAGAGATATCGTTGGGCCATTGGCAACCACTGGATTTGTGCTGCCCATGTGGGCTAGGGATAGCGATTGTCCAGTAACTGTACCACTTGCACTTGTGACCACTGGACTGGCCCCAGCTGAACTTGCAGCCACTGCTGCCGCCAGTCCAGTAACCCCGAGAAGATGATGGGAAGAAGGGTTTGGCCTACCAATGAAACCGGCATGTCCCATTACAGCGGCTGCCGTCCTCGGGTCAAGGGAGGCTGCGGCTGCAGCAGCAGCGGCGGCGGCGGCTGAAGTCACACCGTGGTGACTCGGAGAAGACGCGGTCAGGGCGTGAGCCGTCGCATGATCTGTGACTGGGGGTAAAAACATGTAACCACCATATAAAACGGGTGTTGGGATACGGGGTTGTGGCGCCATGATGGATTCGATCGTAAAAGCCGAACTGTACGAGGGTCGTTGTTGCATTTTTCACACTTTCCGGTAAAAAGTCCTTGTCGAGTCTTTTTTTTTTAAGTTTGAAGAACGGGAAAAGCAAAAGCAGTTCCCAAATAAAATAAAATAAAAAAAACAAACCTGATAAAAATGGTCGTCTTTACTCTTTATATGTTTTTTTTTAATCCGACTTTATAGACATTGCAACGACGGCATCATTTCCTGCAGGTCTAGACATGTCTGCATTTTTAAACTCTTCAATAAATATGTTTGATTGCCTGTCGACACTTGAAGATGAAGATATTTTCAAAATCTGCTTTTTACCTATTTAGAAAAAATTATTTTGAAACTAGTTTGCTGCGTTGTTATCACAAAAAAAGCAAACATTCCCTTGGGATATTTTACTGAATTGTTCGATTGAATATCAGATACCATTAGGATGGTTTTCGGGTGAGCTACTGTCCGTCATTTGTGGTTGGGGTAATTAGTGTTTTAATTTGCTTATCTTTGACTATCAATAGGAAAAGTCAACCAACCACAAACTGTCAGTACATTCGTCCTCTTTCCTTTGTGTTTACATCTGTCTGTTTCTCTTGATCGTATGATAAGTTTGTTTTGCTTTTGAGGGACTTATCTCTCCTTTTTTTTTTCTTTTCTTTTTTTTTTACAACCTTTTTCTCTTGCCTGTAGAGGCCGCTTTAGTAGTCGGCGTTCGCCCTCATCGACTGCAAAGGAAGAGTCACGTGGAAACTGCCATGCATAGTCGCACAATATTGTTTACTGATACGCCTTAAAGCGAAACTTGATTTTCTTTTTTTTATACCTCACGAGTAAGTAAAAAATGTTTTGATGTTTGTGTTTATGTAGCTGTTCTCTTATGAAACATACTCACAGAAGTAAGAAAAACACACGTAAAATAATCCTTGCCCACGTTGCTTGCGATACCAAGCTAAGTGGTTGATATGTCGATGATCTTAAATAAATAGTTTTTTTGTGTGTATTTTTTTTTCCACTTGCAATACAAATTCTAGTAAGTGGGTTCTGTGTCGTCTTCTCCGTCTATCGTTCGTGTGGCTGCCCCAGTGTCCGAGCTGTTAATGGTGTCCGGGCTGTGCGAACGCCGTCATCCTTCTGCTACCCAATTAACCGACAGGAAATCTCGTCCTGACAGATATGATTAAGTTCTCCCAGCTAAAAGTTTCTAAATGAAGAGGATGGACCGGGCTGTTGGGAGCAATCCATCTTACGCAGGTCTTAGGGGTGGGGCTGAACTAGGGGAGAGTCTGGGAAAGAAAGGAGAGAAATATCTACTACTTCAAAAGAGAGAGAGAGAGAAAGAAAGAGAGAGAGAGAAAGAAAAAGAGAGTGAGAGAGAGAAAAGAGTATTCGTTCGAGATAGAGAGAGAGAGAGAGACGAGGGACACGTGTATGAGAGGTGGGGGAGCCTAAAAAACGATATGAGAGTATTATAAGTGTTTTTTGTGTATAAATAAGTTGACCAGATAAACAATCGCTGTTTATAAAAAGAATAAAAACATAAAAAGGTTTTTAATGGCGGGTTGGAATGGAGGAGTTACAAATAATTTATTAACAATACAGGAAGAAAAACTGTGATGCTCTTTGGCTCGAGAAGAAGAAGAAGACTTTATTACTAAGCTTATCTTAGTTCAGGCACAAGGCCAAAAATATAGAGCACTCACTACTCAGTAGTAATGGTCAGCTAGAACTCACTACTTATAATAGTCAACCAGATTATCTCCCAAACTATCACCTCATACCGAGGTGTTTTTATTACTAAATGAATCTTAGTTCTGGCTCAAGGCTACAAGTTGAGAGCACTTATGACAACCAAACTCACTACTAACTAAAGTATGTTAGTCTTTATTTACTCAGCTTAGCATAGTTTGGGCACAAAGTCACAACAATGTGGCACCCAGTGAGCATCGAACTCAAAACTCAGTATTCACCGGTCAACCAGACTAGCTCGTTAGCCATTACACTCGAGGCGCTTTAAGCAGAAGGAGGTGTTTGCAAAAGAGAAAGTTATATAAAAACAACAGAGAAAGCGAGACAGAAGGAAAAGACGTCAAGGAGGTTCGTCTCGTATTGAAAAAAAAAAAGAAAAAAGAAATGCAACCAAGCAACATTGTGTGTGTGTGTGTGTGTGCACGTGTGTGTGTGTGATGGAGGCGCGTCCTTTATAAACTGTTCAAGTTTGTCTGTTATTTGATTGGTTGTCGCGTGACCGAGTGACCGCCGCCCGATCAATCTTCATTTGGTAACAAGCGGCGTACTGTCTGCTGAGAGCTGATTGGTCGACGTCGGCCGCCATGTGCTTGGCGCACCTCAAAAGAGAGGAAAAGACACACACACACCTGGTAGAGGAGGTTGATTGAGTGGCCGAAGAAGTTTGAAATGAAAAGAACTGAAGGGATAAAATCTAAAAGAAAGAAAAACAGAGAGAGAGAAAAAAAAAATGAATGAATAGAAACAAGTTTAAGCAGGAAGTCATACAATATTTATAAAATTTTGGAGATTTAAAGAAAATAATTTTAAAGCAATTTTTATGTTATTTATTTTTAATTTACGTAATTAGATCTCTAAACTGTTACGGTTATAACCATATAAAATAGAATCATCAATCCGAGTTCAAATCCCGCCCTAATCTGTAGAGTTCACTTTCGCGTTAACACTTTTTAGAAAGGTTCAAATTCACCTCTTCCGTCAAGGATGGGTTAAGTAGCCACAGTTATGGGGTAACCAGTGAGTATCGACCTCATTACTCAATGGTACAGGTCGGTCAACCAGACTAGTTCTCTAACCATTACACTATGCCGAGGCTTAGTAGAAGGAGGTGATTGTAAAAGAGAATGTTATATAAAAGCAACATAGAAAGCGAGGCAGAAAGAAAATATGTCCCCCAACTATGGGTTAAATAACAGGACTGACTGAACTTTCTAGCCTTGTATGGCAGCTAGCCTAGGTGAAGGACGACTCTGAACTCAAAATCATGGAGAAGGCAACAGGAAAACCACTATACCATATTTCTCAAAGAAGAAGCAATGTATTGATAATAAAGGAAAGGAAGCTGTGGAGAACCAAGATCACAAAATATTAGGTTGGTGCAAACATAATGACGTAATAATGTCGTTTTTTGACGTTAAAAAATACGTCAAAAAATGACATTATTACGTCATGTTTGCACCAACCTAATACTACAGCCTATGAACAATTCTCTATTATACAAATAAATAAAGCGCATCAATTCTAAAGGAAAGTCAACCAATGCCTTTAATGCAGAGTCAGAAATGGAAAATTGGCAATAGAAAATTCAACTGAAAAGGAATCGCAAAATAGAAGACATGATTGGGTATGAACAGAGATTAACTAGAAACAGTGCAAACGACTTGAAGTCAACCACACAAATAAATGTCACAATTCTATTCAGGGCAGGAGAGCAGTTTTAATCATCATCAACAAAAAAGAGAAAATCTGTCAGTTCGTAAATATTTGTTTGAAAAGTTGAATAAATGGAGATGTGCGCATTTGCAGCACTTACCCTCACTGCATAATTATGCGATTTTATCTTGACAGGAAACTAACTAATATATATATATATATATATATATATATATATATATATATATATATATATAAAACGCGTCGGCGAAGAATAGTTTTTCCTCTTGTCTTTTTATTCATATATATATATATATATATATATATATAAAAGTGCGCCGATGTGTGGGGTTTATTCAACGGCGGGCTCGGCGTTCATCGATTTTATCTTGGCAGGAAACTATCTAATATATATATATATATATATATATATATGAATAAAATAAAGACAAGAGAAAAAATTTCTTAGCCGAAGCAATTCTTTCTCTGAGGGACTTTATCAAGCCATTTGCCTTGATAAATACCAGAGGACGAAACGCGTTGGCTAACAATCATTTTCCTCTTGTCATTTTATTCATTTTGTTCCTTCACAGATAGACTCTGAAAATCTCAAAATAATTTACACAAACACAAACACACACACGCCTGTGCGCACACACAGACACACACACACACACACACACACACACACACACACACACACACACACATATATATATATATATATATATATATATATATATATGAAGAAAAATAATTTTAATGTGTGATATATTTATGGGATAAAGTGCTCAATATCAGATAGAGCGTATGCAAATATATATATATATATATATATATATATATATATATATATATATATAATTTAAATAAAAACAAACCACTTTTAAGGTTCCATGTAATAAATTATTTTACCACAGTCGTTTTAAAGGACTGCGGATCATCAGACTTTACTTCCAAAGGTTGAACAAAAAATTTCTCTGGATTTTATCCTCCTTGGTTTTACCCATACGGATTACCTAGTTTTTTTCATAAACTATATATATATATATATATATATATATATATATATATATATATATATATATATATATATATATATATATAGAGAGAGAGAGGATTATTAAAAAATTCGGTTCGAAGAAATGAATATTTGAATATATTCATGAAATAAATTATAACCGAATGGATTTTTAAGAATCGCCTGTACACCCTTAAGAAAGATATGAATCCAATGAATCCATCACTTCACTCCTCGCCAGCTATGAGCACCATAGGATTGATAGTTGGTATCCAGTCGCGGAGAAGGACAACGCTGAATTGAAAACCTGGGGAGGCTCATTCAGAAACCTTGTGGCACACGATGTGCTGCAGTTCTTTGTAATTGGTACTTCTGAAAAGTGTGATTAGATCTTCACAAGCCTTCAGGATTAAAATAAAATAAAAATCATATGTGCGGGTAGAGAGCAATCATTGTGCAAAAACATTCGTCGCAACAAATCGACGAAAATGATAGCAGTAGGGAAAACTTGGGAATCAAAAATTTTAGGATTGCGGGTCCGGATCTGGCGTGGAATGTTTTTTAATTTGCTCATGGAGTCGGCCTGATACCAAAATGTTAGGCTAAGGCCTCT